GTCCACCACGGTAAGGATGTATTTCTTACCAGAGGGACTGGGGTTAGGCAGGGGTCCCACTAGGTCGACTGCTACCCTGCTAAATGGTTCCTCGATCACAGGCATAGGTAGCAGTCGAGCTTTAGGGTGATCCCCTCTCTTCCCTACCCGTTGGCATACGTCACAAGTACTGCAGTAACGTCGCACATCCTTCGAGATCCCCGGCCAAAAGAAGGTCTGGGTGATCCTGAAGGTGGTGCGATTACCCCCTAGATGTCCTGCCAACGGAATGTCGTGGCCAATTCGGAGAAGTTCCAACCGGTACTTTTTGGGTACCACCAGTTGGCGCTTCTGCGAAGGGGCACAGCCTCTCTTTCTGCCTTCAGTCAGTCTGTATAACCTGTCCCCATCCCATAGAAAACTTTCCCGTCCGTCCCCCCCATGGTCAGCTAATTCTCGATACTTTTGGAGGGTGGGGTCCTCTCTAGTTTCTCTCCCCCAAACTCCTCTGGGGTGTCCCAAGCTATGGGCCTGCCTATCGTAGTGGGGTGACATGTGGGTGCTTGGCTTACCTCGGTCTCCCGGCCTGTATTAGGATCATCTGCGACACGGGACTGTGAACGGGTGGTTACGGGACAGGCGGCAGCCGGTGTGGGCAAATATGCTGAAGTTAAAGGTCCAATGTCATTTCCCAATACGACCTCGGCAGGCAAGTTGTCCATAATGCCGACGGTGGTTTTTCCTGATCCAACTCCCCAATCTAGGTGTACTCGGGCGGTGGGCAAGCGAAAAACAGCGCCCCCTGCAACCCGAACAGCAACAGTGCGAGTCGACACATCCTCCGGCTTCACTAGGTGTTTTTGGATCAAAGTGATGGTAGCCCCGGTGTCTCTTAGGCCTTGTGCTGTTTGTCCATTCACCTTAACCTCCTGTCGGTGATGTTGTCGGTTGTCTGGGGAAGCAGCTTGTATGGGGTCTGCTTCATACAAAATCCCCAGACATTCTTCAGGGCCCATTTCGGCTTCCAGACAGTGAGCCACAGCGGGTCGTGCTGCAGGGGCCTCGGTGCTGGGAGTTGTACGCCTCCAGTTGTTGTTACTGGATCTTAGGGGACAATACCGGGCAATATGTCCGAGGTTGCTGCAGTGATGGCACGTCACCTTTGACAAATCCCGGGGGTAGTTAGTAGTCCCCTGAGGCCGGGGTGGTCCTGGTGGGACTGGAGCTCGAAATTCTGGGCGTGAGACAGCGGCTGGGGCACGTGGCTCTATTTTGTGAGCTTGTCGGGTAGTACCCTGGCTTACTTTCCTTGCCTCAGCATATTCGTCGGCCAGCCGAGCCGCCTCCTTTAAATTGGCGGGGCGCCGATCTCGTACCCAGTCTTGTATATCCGCCGCCAAATCTTGGAAGAAATGTTCCATTAAGAATAACTGTAACACCTCCTCACCCGTGTGGGCTTTGCATCCTTGGACCCAGTGAGATGCTACTCTCTGTAGTCGGTTTGCCCATTCCATGTGGGAGTCCACAGCTTTCTTTTTGGACTCCCGAAAGCGACGACGATAGGCTTCTGGGGTTACCGCATACCTGGTGAGCAGTGCCTCTTTTACTTTTTGGTACTGCGTGATTTCTTCTGTAGTGAGTGCTCGGAAAGCCTCATTAGCTTTCCCTGACAGTTTTCCCGCCAGGATAGTGACCCATTGCTCTGGCGGTATGTGATGTAGTGAGCACTGTCTTTCAAAGTCAGCCAAATATCCATCAATTTCCTCGTCATTTTCTACAAAGGCTTTAAATGCAGTAAAGGGAATTTTCGTTACCGTAGTAGTGGGTAGCGGGGTAGGAACTGTCTGGGTAGTGAGCCGTCGGGCTCTTACCAGTTCCGTTTCTTGTTCCCTCTTGGTTTGTATTTCTTCCCTTGCTTCCCGGAACAGTTGGGTTATTAGTTCTGTAGATGTGACTGGATACAAAGCTAATCTCCGCTGCACAATTGCAGTAATCACATCGTCCTCACTGATGGGTGCCATGGGTTCAGTTACCTCCATGGACCTGTCCATCTCGTCCAGCTCCAGCAAGTCAGCTATCAGCTCCCTCCGTGGTCTGTTGCTGGCACTCCTACCACGATTCTCCAACAGATCCTTTAGTGTGGGTCTTTTCAGCTTCGCATACTGTGACTCCATTCAGTGCTTGCTTGTTGGATAAAAGGACCATCCCACCGCTGCCACCAATGTAACGGCTACCCTGGTAGAGAGAGGGTATCGGCCGTTGGAGACGTCCTTTTTCCCTGCAAGCTGCTGTGGAGAAGTAAGCTGGTATAATCCCATTCACGATATCCAGAGTAAAAGTCAGGTTCAGCTGTAGCAGGAGCAGAATAACATTCCCAAATAATCCCCTTCCAAGAACGAGACAAGGCTACGTTTTGCAGGGTCAAGAAGATCTGAGGTCTGGGAAACCCAGCCTGCTTTTTATTAGGAACAAGTACACACAGGACACTCCCAGGGGGAGGATGAAAATAACCAATTACACACAGGGTAACACCCCCACGTCTCCTCCCCTCAGATAAACATATAACATAATTATAACGTACCTAAATTTACCCACATTCTGGATGTACCCCAAAAACAGGGGGTACACCTTTAAGTCCAGCACCGCTTAATAGCTACCACTCAGGGGAATAACATATTCAAATTTCAAGTCATTCGGTTGTGGGGTTCGGGAGTTATGGGTCTTTGAAGTTTTGACCGACCGCACAGGATTTTCAGCCGAAAAGAGTTCCACAAGTTTTGGCCTTGCGGTCGGTCCCCGTTCGTGAATAAAAACCCCACGAACCCCTTGCCCTCCACAGTAATCCTGCCGTCGCCTGAATCCCCATGCATGCTTAAACAAAACTACCGAACGGCCGGTCGTTCGGTAGTTTCAGCACGAACTTACGAGCTCCTGGAGGTCTCAGCGGCGTTCGCCTGTTTGCGTATCCGTTTTTAGTTCCATGCGTTCACAGGCAAACACCGCCGTTCGTGCGTAAGATGGCCGCGAACACGTGTAAAGTCCCGAAATGGCGGCCACCTATTCTCAGACAAAGGGATTCGTCTGAACCAGGCGAACGGCTGTATTCTCCAGTAATGATATTCCCTTGCAATGATTTCGCCATTTTCACTGTTTTAGTCCACAGGGCTTTGGTGCTGGTGAAGTCCTGTTACAATCTCTATAGGCTTTAAGTTGAGCCATATCTGCGCCATTTACATTCCAGTCAGGATCGGTGTTAGGGTAATGTGTTGCGGCCCATGCTGCCGGATTGGCTTGATTTAAAGCACGGGCTCTCTCCTCTAGCGCCTTAATGGCCGCTTGGTTAATCCTTGTCCTTTCCTCATTATTGAACAATGTCATTAATAACTGCTGGCAATCAGCCCATGTCGGGTTATGTGTCTGAACTATCGAGGTGAACAGATCGGTCATAGCTTGTGGTTTCTCAGTGTACGAGGAATTGTGGGTCTTCCAATTCAAGAGATCGGTAGTCGTGAACGGGACATATACGAAGACTGGGTCAGCATGTGCCATTTGACCTGCGGCATCGATATAGGCTGACCCAGGATTCAGACGAAGAGGCATCTGATAATGTTTTAATTGTTGGGTACCGGTCAGTTGTCGGGTTAGTATGGGGCTACGTGGAGGGGCGTCAGTTAAAGGTTCCGGTCGAGAGGTAATAGGGCATGAGGATGTGGGAACTTGATTTTGGGAAAAGTTAGTGAATAGTATACTCCGAGCCGAGCTAGAAGAAGCTTGACCGGAAGTTTGAAGTGGCGCCAAATCAGGATATTCAGATCTAATGGGGGTTGGTCCTGGTTCCGGAAGGGGAGTTTTAATACGAGGGGGGGTGGATTCTGTACTGGAGGAGGAAGCGGAAGTGGATGGGGGCAATAGGGGAAGGGGTGCAGAACTTCCTGCATTCGCGTCACTTCCTCTTAAAAGAAAGTAAGGGGGCGGCAAAGGGATCTCGGACTCAGGGGGCGTGTCCAAAATGGGCCTAACACCAGTCCTAGTGGACAAACAAGTCCTGGCCACCATGAGGCGACATTGCTCCTCGTGGCATATCCGGATCCATTTTGGCGAGTCGTTTACGGCCTGCCTCCAACAATCAATGTATGGAAACTGTCCGTAAAGTTCAGGCCTACCTGATACAGCCACGTGTACACGCTGTACCAGGGTTGGATCCAAACTGCCATGCGGCGGCAATGCCGCAAACAAAGTAGGCCACTCCCTAGTGCACAAAGTGACCAAACGTACAGGAGACATTTTAACCCCAAAATCACATGTTTTGAATCCCTTTTTAAAATTCTTTACCATACAACCTAAGGGATCCGAAATCGTTGACTCTGACGCGCCCATACTTATCAATGGAACGTCGTTGACAACGAATACTATGCACGCGTTCTTATTCAACAGTCACACCCGTTTCCTCTGGCAACAGCACCACGTGGTACAGTTACCGAGTGAAACGTACACAATAACACAATAATCACTCAGGGAATTCCCGTACACACACAGCTGTTACACCAGTCACTAAATAATCAATATTATGCCCTTTGGCGAAACTATACAGTCACCCACGCTATAATTCTCTATATATGAATTACCCGTCTATAACACACCCCAGTAACATCGTCTTTTACTAGTATCGGTTACAGTACGGTTAGCATAGGTCAAAGCACAATTTAAGGTCACAATACAATTATTAGTGGTTACGGTGTTAAACATGCAATAGACGACAATGATTAGTACTTATATACAGTGTCAGTAAATATACAGGGTTATGGTACCGTGCACTATGATACAGCAACACACTATTAACACTCTCGCTAGACGGCTGAGCTCGCGCTATCTAACAAGATATACACTTTACTAACAATCTTTAACACATTTACAATCCCAACTAAACTATTGGCCAGTACCTTGAATGGACTACCTAAAACTATATACACCCGTTTTGGTTAGCCACACTGCCCAAACACCACATATAGCGAACTAGAGGGCGAAATTTACAAAATTGCCCTTCTAGTCTATTTACTCTATCAAAAGTCTAGTGGGTTCCAAATTTACACGCCTTCCCACTTAGCCAAGATAGGTTGAGAGCTAGCGAACCGAATTTACACAGGCGCCGCTTAGTCTCCCGGTCCCTCCGACCTAGCGAACGTAATATACACCCTAGAACGCTAGTCTAGACAAGACACCGGTGTCCGGCTAGGGCTATTTACACAGGACCCCGCCTGACTAACCAGATCAAACGGTCTTACTAAAGAGCGTTCGATCGAGCGGTGCGCCTTCGCTCCTTCCCTCCGACAGAGGGGGCAGATTCCATACACAGATTTAAACCCCTTTTGGGCCTACCGCACAATCGGTATACCCCTAGTGGGTCTGCCGCCTAAAACAGCAGTTGTCTTACCTCCTCGTTCCTGAACCTGAGTTCACACTCATCGACGGGGACACCCCAGCACTTCTTACGTAGAGGCCGATGATCTCCCGGACAACAGACCAGTGGCGCCGAGACGAAGGGAGGTCCACGCAGAAGTTCAGGGGTGCAGCCGTAGAGAACGTGGGCAAAGATAGACCGTCTCACGCCTCTGCCTCTCAGCTACCGTTGAACGATGAGCTTCCCGGCCAATGCACCAAATGATACCGGAGAAACTGATGGAAGCAAAGCACAGAGGGATGGACACAGGTTTCTTCAGGAAGGAAGAGATTCTTTATTGGATCACCGATCGGGACTCAGAGGGACTAATGTCACCAAAAATACAGCAAGTTCTGAGCCCTGAACAATAGTGCAGGCTCTCTATATAGGCACATAACTCCTCCCATATTAAGCTCCACCCGCACATTCTCTTGACCAATCATTACAAATAAGAATTAACTTCCTGCTTGACCGCATGGCTTGTCCAGCACAATGGAGGAGGGGAATACTACATCTTGTATTCTTGCACATGCTCCGTACACTACTGATCGTATCTTGCCTCGTGCAACCAACTGATCGATACGTCAGCATATGCACGTACACATGCCACGTGGTAATCTCGGCCTACTAAATTTATTTTTACCGAGATTCCACCACATTATGAGCTCAGTATACAATGTTTCAGTTGACACTAGCTGGGACCCCTGTTGGGCTAGCTGATCACCCCAGCACGTTTGGTTCTGGCAGCCTTGTGTGACATATTCTCTTTAAAACTAAAACATATTCTAGGCTAACAACTGCTTACATTTTCATAACTATGTGATCAGGGCCGGATTAAGAGCACAGTGGGCCTGGTGCTGACAATTATGATGGGCCTAATTACGGAATCTTATCGACCAAAAACACTAAAACAATCATACCTCCCAAGCGTCATGTATCTGATGGAGATGGTGCTGGAGAGAAACTCATAGGATGCAGCTATAAGAAAACACATACTCTATGCTAATTTCTCTCTAATTTATGCTTTCATCTTTCAAGTAAATCCATAACCCCTAACAGCAGTGTCCAGTGAAGCAGGAAGTCAATGGGCTGGGTAAAAGGGTGTGCCACTGGCGCGAATAACGTGACAAGACCTGCCAAAAGGGGTGAACATGCCCAAAAAGGGGGCATGTTTGTCCAAAGAATTGGAAGGTTAGCCTGGCATGAATGCATGTCAGGCTGCCTGCCAATCCTGCAGGCTGTCCAACTATGCGTCTCCACTCCATTCTTTCTAAGGACTGTCCCCTAGCCCTCGCTGGTCCACTTGTCTCTTTACCTTCTTACTAGCAGGCAGAAGTTCCTGGTATATAGTCTGAGACAGAGAAAAGGTGTCTGTAGTGAATGTAGAAGAAAGGGGACATGCCACAGTGTTAGAGAGACCAACGTCTGCATTACCTAAACTAACTTTAATGTCAGCCAGTGCACACAAGTTTTGTTCCCATACATCCCTCTTAAGCTTCCAAACTTAAAGGGACACTATAGTCACCAGAACAACTACAGCTTATTGTATTTGTTCTGGTAAGTAGAATCATTCAATTCAGGCTTTCTGCAGTAAACACTGTCTTTTCAGAGAAAATAACTCCACTGGCCGCTCCTTAGATGGCTGCTAGAGGTGCTTCCTGAGGCAGTATTGCCTAGTGTGCAGCACTGCCATTCAGTGTCTCCACCCTCTGCATGCAGACACTGAACTTTCCTCATAGAGATGCATTGATTCAATTTATCTTTATGGGGAGATGCTGAGGGGCTGGTTCTGCCCCTGATCTGCCTAGTTGACAGTCTCAGCCAATCCTATGGGAAGTATTGTAATTTGCTCAGACCACCACTTCTGAGCCAGCAGCTGCAGAATTGAATACAAGTAATATTTTACTATATTTAGGGAGGCAAGAAGGGGCCAGGGTGGTGGTTTTAACATTATAGGGTGAGAAATACATGATTGTGTTCCTGACACTATAGTGCTCCTTTAAGCAAGAGTATGTGAAGAGTAGTTAAGGTTGCCACCTTTCTTGGAAAAAAATACCAGCCTTAATCATTTGTATAATTAATTAGTTATGCATGTAAATCACAAGGAGTGACATCAGAGAAAATTCTGTAAAATCACCAACAAACTACTCACAGTTTGATTCTGCTGTATAGATGGATTGCTCCCAGTGTCTCCCTGTCTCCCAGTGTCTCAGTCTTGCAAGTCACCCAGTGTCTCAGTGTCCCTATGTATCACAATGTCAGTGTCCCCATGTCACCCAGTCCCCTAGTCTCCCAGTGTCTGTGTCCCCATTTCTCCCAGTGTCCCAATGTCTCAGTGTGTCCCCATGTCACTAGGATACTGGGGACACTGAGAGACCCGGGGGGGACACAGAGACATGGGGACACTGGGAGACATGGGGACACAGACATTTAGGGAAACTGGGAGAAATGGGGACACTGAGACACTAGGGACACAGACACTGGGAGACATGGGGACACTGAAACATTTGGGGACACTAAGACACTAGAGACACAGACATGGGAACACAGACACTGGGAGACTAGGGGACACTGGCTAGGGGACACTGGCTGGGAGACAGACACTTGGGACACTGGGAGACATGGGGACAGTTGTGGACATAGACATGTGGACACTGGGACATATAGGGACACTGGGAGACATGGGGACACCAGGCACACTGAGACACTAGGAACACAGACACTGGGAGACATGGAGACACTGAAACATTTGGGGACACTAAGACACTAGGGACACAGACACTGGGAGACTAGGGGACACTGGGAGACTAGGGGATACTGGGAGACTAGGGGATACTGGGAGACTAGGGGACACTGGCTGGGAGACAGACACTTGGGGAGACATGGGGACAGTTGTGGACATAGACATGGGGACACTGGGACACATGGGGACACTAGGCACACTGAGAGACATGGGACACAGACACTGGGAGACTTGGGGACACTGAAACATTTGGGGACACTAAGACACTAGGGACACAGACACTGGGAGACTAGGGGATACTGGGAGACTAGGGGACACTGGCTAGGAGACAGACACTTGGGGAGACATGGGGACAGTTGTGGACATAGACACGGGGACACTGGGACACATGGGGACACTAGGCACAGTGAGAGACATGGGACACAGACACTGGGAGACTTGGGGACACAAACATTTGGGGACACTAAGACACTAGGGACACAGACAATGGGAGACTAGGGGACACTGGGAGACTAGGGGACACTGGCTGGGAGACAGACACTTGGGGAGACATGGGGACAGTTGTGGACATAGACATGGGGACACTGGGACACATGAGGACAGTTGTGGACATAGACATGGGGACACTGGGACACATGGGGACACTAGGGACACTGGCTGGGGGACATAGTGTCTCCGTGTCCCAATGTCTCCCAATGTCCCTATGTCTCACAGCGTCCCCATGTGTCTCAGCATCCTCATGTGTCCCAGTGTCCCCTAGTGTCTCAGTGTCTCCATGTTTTCCTGTGTCCCCAGGTCTCCCAGTGTCTGTGTCCCCATGTGTCCTAGTGTCTCAGTGTCCCCTAGTGTCTGGGTCCCCATGTGTCCCCTAGTGTCTGTGTCCCCTAGTGTCTGTGTCCCCATATGTCCCCAAGTGTCTGTGTCCCCTAGTGTCTCAGTGTCCCCATATTTTCCAGTGTCCCTATGTGTCTGTGTTCCCAGGTCTCCCAGTGTCTGTGTCCTAGTGTCTCAGTGTCCCCTAGTGTATGTGTCATCATGTGTCCCCTAGTGTCTGTGTCCCCTAGTGTCTCAGTGTCCCCATGTGTCCCCTAGTGTCTCAGTGTCCCCATGTGTCCCTGCTGCCTTTCCCCCCATCCCTCACTTCCCTGAGCTGTAGTCTGTCTCTGCAGGCTGGGAGCTGCTGTCTGGAATCTCTGTGCTGTGTAGCTGTCCCCCCACGGATCAGTGAGTAGTAGAGAGAGGCAAGGATATTCTGTAACTTCCTATCCCCGCCTCTCTCCACACTGCTGATATTGCAGAGTAATTTCCATTTATTCTGAGAAAATTACCTGCATTTGTATTGCCGGCATTACTGCAATACCGGCACGGCCAGGCAGCCTCAAATACCGTCTGTGCCATTAAAATACCAGTCAGGTGGCAAACCTAAGAGTAGTGTGTAAAAAAAAATTATTATTTTTTTTTTTTTTTAAATGGGCCTATTCCATGGGCCTGGGCCTGGGCCTGGAGCTGCAGCTCCATCAGCCCCTATGTTAATCCGGCCCTGGTTGTTGATATTTTACTGTATTTATATGTTTATTACTGTATTGATTTATTTGTTTAGAGGGTATTTTTGCATCTACCTTCTTAGTGCTGTAGGGAATGATTAGTGATCTAGTGATTGATTTATTTAGCTATACTGTATTTTCTACACCTACCTGCTTAGTGCTGTAGTGATTGATTGATTTATTTACTCTGTTTTTCTGCATCTACCTTCTTATGGCTGCAGGGATTTATTTGTTTAGAATGTGTTTACCTTCCTACTGCCATTATGATTTTTTTTTTTTATTTAGATTGTATTTTTCTGTCCCTCCTTTTTTGCTGTAGGGATGTATTTTCTCTTATGACTTTTCTGCATTTTCCTGCTTTGGGCCCCCCTGTCTGGGGATCATTTTTTTTCTCGGGTTTGGGGGGGTTTCCTTTTTCCCTCCCTCCCTCCCTCTACCTTTTCTAGGTGGCTTTGCCCCCTTCACTTTTCGTCCGTTTGCAGCTCCGGCGGTCACACGTGTTGGATCCCGCCCGCCGGCTCCGTCCGCTGAACGAGATCCTCTGCTTCCAACCCCCCACCCGACCCACGCTTCTGCTCGTGGTATAACTGCTCCCGCAGCGTGGGTGGGGTTACCTTCCCATGCAGTGCGGCAGCCCGAGCATCCACTTCCCCGCAACCGCATGGTCGGGTGGGGGCGGGGCCAGACAGTTTCCTGACTCACCGCATTAGTTCCGTCGATGGCAGGCACATGTGCTGTAGCTTTGACTGGGACTCAGCTATAACTTGGCCGCATTGCATCCTCAGGCTGTCCTGGCTTTGTGCCCCTTGTGGCTGGCAGGATAGGCTACTGGGGACCATAGTGGATGGTATAGATCACAGGCTTGCTATATAGAGCTGTGCACAACCCCTCAAGGGTTACACGCACAGCTGGCAGTGTTACAACTTATACTCACCCCCCACCCCCTTTTTGTTTGTTCAGATGATTGCTTGCAGGGCTCTATTTTATCATATTGACCAATAGAGCACCTCTTGTGAGGTAACTCAGTTGGTGAATTCCATGACTACAGGTGTACTCAATATGCAAGTTCACTATTTAACTGAAGTGCATTATCTACAGTTACACAATGGAATGCTAGGTACAGTCACACAGAGGAATGCTATATACAGTTACACAGTAGAAGGCTATGTACAGTTATGCAGTAATATACTATGTACAGTTGCACAGAAGAATGCTATGTACAGTTGCACAGAAGAATGCTATGTGCAGTTGCATAGAAGAATGCTATGTACAGTTACACAGGGAATGCTATGTACAGTTACACAATAATATACTATGTACAGTTACACAGTAATATACTATGTGCAGTTACACAAAGGAATACTATGTACAGTTACACAGAGAAATGCTATGTACAGTTACCCAAAAGAATGCTATGTACAGTTACACAGTAGAAGGCTATGTACAGTTACACAGTAATATACTATGTACAGTTACACAGTAATATACTATGTACAGTTACACAGAAGAATGCTATGTACAGTTGCACAGGAGAATGCTATGTACAGTTACACAGGAGAAGGCTATGTACAGTTACACAGTAATATACTATGTGCAGTTACACAGAAGAATGCTATATACAGTTGCACAGAGAATACTATGTACATGTTACACAGGAGAAGGCTATGTACAGTTACACAGTAATATACTATGTGTAATTACACAGAAGAATGCTATGTACAGTTACACAGAAGAGTGTTATGTACAGTTACACGGAAGAGTGTTATGTACAGTTACACGGAAGAGCGTTATGTACAGTTACACAGAAGAGCGTTAGGTACGGTTACACAGAAGAACGTATTGTATGTTTACACAGAAGGATGTTATGTATGGCTGCACAGAAGAGTGTTATGTACAGTAACACAGAAGAAGGTTACGTAGAGTTACACAGAAGTGTGTTAATTACAGTTACACATATGTTTGTTAATAAGTTACACATAAGTGTGTTATTACAGTTACACACAAGTGTGTTAATTACAGTTACACACAAGTGTGTTATGTGCTATTAATCTGAAGAAGTGTTATGTACATCTTATCTGAAGAGCGAAAGGTACATTTTATCGGAAGAATGCGCAGTTCCTCACCTGTACATCTCTGAAGGTCCTGACTTGTCTGTGCCTCAGAACTTGGCCGGCTTTGTCTGTGCCTTACTGATTGGCCTGCTTTGCCTGTGCCCCATTGATCTGGCCTGTGCTGTCTGTGCTAGAATGTCTGCATGCCAAGCCTACTGCCACATACTCACGCTTGTGCATTGCATGCGCTGCCCAACTTGCCTCGGTCACTATATGGGGTGCTACTAAGTAGCCGCAAACCCAACTCTATCTCCCTGCCGGTGACACTTGTCCTCTATACTCCGGATGGTCGCTTTGCCTGGGACCGTTGCACAGGAGAACCCTTATCCGGGTTAATAGCGCAGACAATGACTACTATGGCAGTGACCACCTCCGTGGAATTAGGCTTCAGCCAGGGTCCTCCCTTAAGCTTATCAGGAGCATAACGCTAGAGGGCCCACCTTTAAAACGGCAGGCAACTTGAATGAGTCAGACTCTCCTAGAGGAGAGCAGGAAAGGCACATAAGCGCTACTGGAAGGGTGAACCAGTGACTTGAATGAGTCAGACTCTGTTTGAGGAGAGCAGGCAAGTGCGCATGAGTGCTACTGGAAGGGTGAATGCCCTTAACCAGGCTCCCGGCAAGATAAGACTCCGAGGAGCGGCAAGCCCCTCTGCAAGCAGCCAGAAGGCCCTCCCTCTATGGCGCGGGGGAGGCTATGACCACCGGATGCGGCAGTGACCACCTTCTTAAAAAGGAAGATGACTTGAAGGAGTCAGACTCTCTGAGTGGAGAACAGGCAAGGGCGCATAAGCACTATGGGTAGGGTGAAGGCCCGGAACAAGACGCCCGGAAAGATTAGACTCCGGAGAAGTGTCTAACCCTGTTACAATCGGCCTTGATGGTCAGACGACACTATGGCGCAGGGGTGAAGGTCCCCGTAACTCCCCCCCACCATGGCCGCCCTAGCTGAATGGCGGGCAGACCGGTTCCCCTCGGAAGTAGAGGACGATGGGGTTGTGGATTATGATAATGGCCCCTAGTGGCACCATGAGATGTAGAACAAAGTCCACTACAGGGGCCCCGACGACCGTGGAAGAAGAGGTCATCTCATGGATCGCCTTAAACGAACCCCTGTTCTACCCTCCATCCATTGCTCACCTGGTTTCCTTTGGAATGGTGTCTGCCCGATCACCTAGCACCACCGGTGCGTTTCTGGGCCCGTAGACTGCTGGCTTGAGAAGCCTGCAGGATAATTTGAGCGGTATTCCAAGCCGGGCTCCCGAACTAAGTAGCCGCAAACCCAGACTTAGACCCCGATGGGGCTCTGCTGTTTTGCTGGTTAAGCACCTGTCTAGTATTCAGGAGATCCTGAGTGCGGCCCACTGCAGTGCCTATACTATTAAGTCTGCACTGGCAAGCCGATTGTTTTCCGCTACATGAGTGAGTTGTGCTACCGGAACATACGAGGAAGTATAATATGTGTCCTTTTTTACATGGGTATACTTGAATATACTATGCTTATCTCAGCTCCAACCTGTACCTTTTTATAGGGGATTGGACCCTTGACCCAGAATTTC